ATATAATATAATTCCAATTATATATAAATATAATATAATTCCAATTATATATAAATATAATATAATTCCAATTATATATAAATATAATATAATTCCAATTATATATAAATATAATATAATTCCAATTATATATAAATATAATATAATTCCAATTATATATAAATATAATATAATTCCAATTATATATAAATATAATATAATTCCAATTATATATAAGTATAATATAATTCCAATTATATATAAATATAATATAATTCCAATTATATATAAATATATAATATAATTCCAATTATATATAAATATAATATAATTCCAATTATATATTTAACTCCAATTTCTATTGGAGTTAAATATACTGGACGCTGATCTCGTATATTTTACGCGTGCGAGTTCAAATGAGACCATTAAGGAACGACAACGACGTTACTTCTAATCTGTAGACCAATTTCAAGACGATTTTTATAGAACACGTAGCGTCCTCGAGGTTTTGTTCGAGTTGAACTTCGAAAAGAAATCAAATCAGCCAACACTTGCCACTGCGAATGAAATCTAACCGAATGTTCCGTGTCACAAGTCATGTCCCCCGTGTCTGTATTATTCGTTCCAGATTATAAACGCGTCGTTATTAATCTCGTTTTGCAGTTTCTACGCAATTAACGCTTCGAGTTTCGTGTGGACGTGTATGCGGATCCAGCAAAAGATCGATACAGCAAAACTCGGGTCAAATTCGATGACGTTTATATCATTTTATTTGACAAATGGTCTGAGTAATTGCTCGATTATCTTCTACAGCGAGTAAATAAATTTTTACACACTATATATCTGCTATATTTTTTTGTACTCGAAGGGTTAACGGATTTATTCCGGAGGTTCAAGCAAAACTGTGCGGCGTATTAGACACTGTGATCGATCGTAAAACGTACCACAAACACACACACACACACACACACACACACACACACACACACACACACACACACACACACACGGTTTAGCTCGTACCCGTTTGGTTAAAAACACGCGAGATTATCGGGGGTGATCTACTCGCGGAACCGAACATCGAGACTGCGGTTATTCTTTGTTAGTATTTGGGATCGTTTCGAGTGAAACGTTGAAGAAGACAGTGTGTGAAAGAAAGAGTATTTGAACGCACAAGCAACTGATTATTCGTGGAAATTTCATTTCTTGTAATGTTTAAAATTTCGGAAATGTAATGTCCGTAGTACGCAGAACAATATTTACATAGTATGTATACATATATGTAGTATATATATAGATATATGTATGTATATATGTATATATATACCGGGGTGATAATCACATTCTATTCGGTCTCACGTAATTGTTTTATATATACACAAGAGAGAGAGAGATCGCACTATCAATATAGATTCCGTTCAACGATAAAGCAGAAGAACTTAATGCGAATGTACTTGATCGAAGGATATCGACTTAAAGAATAGATCTCAAATGTTCGATGCAACCTTCAGCAGACAGCGCTGCCTGGATTGGTACAGATTTTAATTACCTCAGCCTTATTTACTTTTTCCTACAATACGTGGCATATATGAATACATATATATTAATATATACAGGTTGTCCCATTCGAAGTTATCCACTTAATTATCACCTAAACTACAGTTTGTTTAAAAATATGTGACGGATGGAACTTACCCTGTTTCGAAGGGGACATCTTACAGCGATGTTTGCTAGGTGGACGTTCTTCCGAGATTTCAGGGATGACCGTGGTTCTATTTAATGAAACTGTATATTTCTTTTATGTAAACGGATACAGCTGATTTCAAGGTGAATTTATTGACTTTTAATCTTTCTTCGGTCTTCGTTCTCAGTATTTGGTAAGGGTGAAATTTAAACGGCATTAAACGACCTCGGACGATCTTCGGAGACCAAAGTATTTCGGTCAATCAATTTGCTTCGAAATGCACAAAATCCACTTACATAGAAAAATATGCTTACAATATAAATTCCATGGAAAAAAGTTTATAACCATTATAAAATGTTCCCTTCGGGGAACAGGGTAAGCTTCATTTGACACGCTTTTTCAAACGAACTTAGTGTAGGAGTTGATTGAGTGCGTAACTTCAAATGGAACATCCTGTATACGTATACACACATATATAACATACATAATACATATCCGTACGTATATATACATACATACATCCATACAAACGTATGCGTTCCATATATATACATGTATATGTATGTTAAAGTTGTCAAACGCGCGACTGTATTCGTAATTCATTTCTCGTTACAATTACGCTTGATTACCTACACGCGTATTTTCTAGTACAGTGCAACTATGCTGTACAATAACAAAGATGCACCGTAACGTTTTATACGCAGAGAGAGTCATTTTTACCACTTCTAAGTAGTAGTTTTTCCTACGCTCGGTAAATATTTCTTTTGTCGTCTAACATCGTTCGGTGACTGATGGTACAAATAATACTAATGATAATAAAAATAATAATAATAATAATAATAATAATAATAATAATAATAATGATGATGATAATAATAATAGTAATAATAATAGCAATAATAATAATTATTCATAACAATTTTAAAAATATTTCAGCATTAAACAAGAAATAATAAAATGACTATAATAGACGATAGCTACTTAAGACATACTAAAAATACATTACTGTAAATAATAAAAATAATAATTAAAAAAAAGAAATAATGTCGAAATCTTTTGAGATGTAGAAATGGTGTGTAAAGGGGGAAGGGGGGTTGACAATAGGGATCGGTCGATTTTATACTTATCTATACACGAAGAATGGTTTTAAATGAGGGGAACGGGGCCAGGAAGAGAGAATTACACGCGGTGAAGAATATGTCAGTAGTGTAGCCGCCACTTTACTTTACTTCTGTTTTCCTAGATCACAGTCACATGTATGGCTGCTAAATCACGAAACATATTTCATCACCATTTTGTTCTTTTTCCTTCGACGAAAAGAAGAAAAAGAAGATGCGTTGAGAAAATAGAAGAAGAAGAACGAGAAGAGGAGATGGAGGAGGAGAGAGAGGAAGAAAGTATTAAAGAATCCATCGAAATCTTATCAATACTGGAAAATAGTTCACTAGTTTACACAAGTACAAAATTTAATATACTCGGTTAGATTCTTTGAGGAGCGGCAAGTGAGAGAGACGCTCGATCATCCCTGGCTAGATCTCTTCCTGTGCATCGGTCAACTTTTTTGGCGATACGATTAAAACGTCGGAAACTCCACGATGCAATTTCCAATTGAATTTATACAATTCTCGTGCGACGAACGCTGCGACAGCTATAAAACTATAATATTACGTATAAAATATTCTCCATAATAAAATGATATACTTACAAAAAAAGGGGGAACATGTTGAATTATACCGTTAATGCAGAGCCTACCACTTGAGATCAAAACCTGATCACTGTAAAAACCGTTCCAAACCATGGATGAATATGTACGCGTGAAATTCGATCGAATGGTATTGTTCGCAATAGAACGAGAGAAAAGAAAAAGAGGGACCGATATTAGCGGATAACGTTTGAAAGGTATTTGTCTAATAAGCTTGTTCGATGAGCGAGCAAATGCAACGATTAAATTATATTTTCTTGTTCTTTTTTTCTTCTCTTTTTTTTTTTACATAATAAGTACATATCTTTCGGAAAGGAAAACAATGCTCTCGAAGGGAGATGAATTCGTTCGTGGTAGTGTCGCGCGTTCACAGGAGCAGATCTATACAAACTTCAAGCGCCTCTTCTCTTAAGTTAGACATTCGCTTGCCACCAGTGCGTTTAACGCTTTTTCGTAAAAAAGAAAAGAAACAATAAATCGGGAAATGGTAAGAGAGAGTAATGTAATCGTATATTATATACAAATAATAATTAGTCTAACACTGCGGGAAAGGGTTAACTTTGGAGGGAGGTGGTGGGACCGTCCCGTGCTCGCAAGAGTTCATGACAATTATACACGAAGGCCTGCAGACCTCTATGCGACGATCGCTTTTGCATCGGTAAATCCTGCCTCGTTCCTCACTTATTGATAATTTACTCTACAGATTACAATACGCTATGCTCTAACCACTTCGGATGTACCCTATTTTTGCTTTATTATATGTACTCAGTTAGTGTATATCCGTATATATATATATATATATTTCTTGTTTCCTTCTATTTACAAAATATGTAGAATAGACATTGTTCCTATCCTAACTACAATAATGCGTGCCGTGGCGCGAGACTTTTAAACCCTTCAAGGTGCGCTTTTTATTATTTTTTTTTTCATATATGTATATATACACACACACATATATATATGTATATGCATGTGTACAATCGTATGTACATGTATATGCATGTGTACAATCGTATGTACATGTATATGCATGTGTACAATCGTATGTACATGTATATGCATGTGTACAATCGTATGTACATGTATATGCATGGTACATAAATGTACATGTATATGCATGGTACATAAATGTATATGTATATATACATATATCCATACACACATATATGGACATATCACTAATTACATTGTCTATTTTACAGCCAAATTCAACAATCCCCGCTGAAGTTCAACGCGTTTAGCCGATTAACTGTTCAGACATTTCTTTTATTTTCTCTGTAACATAAAATAGCGATCATTGGTATCGATAAAATGAGTTAAAATAAACGGCGTGGAATATGGAGAAATATTTCTTTACAGGGTTGGTTAACGAACGACGTAAAGACCGCATAAAACATCTTCGACATCACCGAGCGTGAGGTGCAAACCGATAAGAAAATGATTGATAGAGAGCGCATTACCGAGGATGATCATATTCGACAGAGAGCTGTAACGAGCAAAGTTCATAGAAACGTCAGTTAACAGAATACAGGATGTTCGAAGAGACGATACGGGCTATGGTTACGCATGATCGAACGACTGTGGATGTTTATATGAATTTGCAGCATCGGAGATTGATGTACACAAGAATGGAAATCAGTTTGAAAATTATTTTCTGTATTAGTAATTTTTATTCCATTAAAAATAACATATAAATAATATTAAACTTGATTCAAGTTCTTGATTTATTGTAGTTTTGCAGAGTAGTAGATATCAGAAATATATAAACATCTGCAGTCTCCTCGTGGTACCTACTAAACGAAATTTAAAAGACAACCTTCGAGTAAGGAATTATGCCTACGCTGAATCCTTTTAGAGCAAGCAGTAGTTTCCGATGGTATAATAAAAACAAAGTACGACGATAGGAATATGTACTGACATGTGCTTCCAAGAGCTAAAAATAATAAAATTACAAAATAATTTATGTACACGCGAGTAGATAAGTTACATTATTGATATAAAAATAGTTGTTTAGTGTGAAAGAATTGTAATGGTTAAGTATTTTGTTTCTTTAGTTCCGTAAGTACCACAATTTTTCACATTTGTTAGACGTCTTTTTTTAACAGCCTGTACTGTCCGAATTGTTGTCGTCTATCAATACGGAACACCTGCCAAAGGAGCAATGAAGAACCTCCAAGAGTACTTTATACCTTCTACATTGTTATAATGAATAATAATGAGTAATTGAAAATACGAATAAATCGAATCAGTAAACTGATTAGAATAAATAAAATTGAATAAGATCGAAAAATTAGTGATTTTTAATGTCACCTGATAAAGAATAAATTTATTAAGATATGTAAGGCTATAAATAATTGAGAAATTGATTGTTTATAACAAATACATTAGAATATTTCTTTAGGGAATATAGTTGATTTAAAATAATAAACTTTTTAAGAAACTTGATACAAGAAAGGTATAATATTTATAAAAATTTCGCCACAGAGTACGTGAATGATGTTCACAGTAACTCGTATGGTAATCATTTAATTTATTAAGAATTTACAGTTGTAAAATGAGTTTTCAAAAACGTTGTTTGAACTAGTTGCTCAGATAAGGAAATAACTTGCATGAACAAAATACAATTCGAACAAAATTATAACATTCCCTGTAATTAAATTACTGGAAATGTAGCTTCAAGCTATGCATTCAACAAAGTAATCTTGGGTATTCTCGACGTGTATGTTTTAGAATGAACATATGCTCTGACAATCTCGGGATGACTATAAAATGTTAGGTCACCTATAAGGAAGAATTATCACTAAGATATTTCATAAAACACAGAATCTTAGAGATCTGGGGACTATAGTGACCACACTAGTTTTTAAATAATTTAAATACGTGAATCTAGTTAAAGTACTGTTAGATACTGACATAAATCGATGTTGTAATATACAAGATGATTGTAATTATAAACTTAATTTACCAAAAAATCTGGGTTTATACCTATGATCGTGTGAAGTAATATGTATGTGATCGTCAACGTTTATAATTCCTTGACAATTAGATCTAATTCAGTCAGTTTCCAACAGTACGCGACAGTTATAAGCAATGATGGTGATAATGAGTCTAATATAAACAACAAATTCATTTAAAAGCGTAATAACAAAATACGAATCGCAACAATGTGTTCGACAGAGTTAACATTGAATTTTCCCATTGTTCCTACCTCGAAGCTCGGTGTTTGAATTGTTTAAATTGAAAACATATTTTATCTAAGTTAAATCGCACGCATCAGACGACGAAGCAACAGATAAAAACAAATAAATTTGTCACGGCCAAAAAAAATAAATAAAAAAAAAATACGGCCCGTTTAAAACCGCTTACATCTAACTTGGCCACGAAAAAAAAATAAAGAGGCATGCAGATGAATTTTAAAATATTATATAAAACGTAAACAAACGCGTTGAACTTGAGCGGGATTCTAAAAACAGTAGATAAGTACTTTCGAGAATATTGGAAACATATTAGATATTATCTATATCAAGTGGTTGTCTAACAAGTAATTCATTACTATTCAAGGGACTTGTTTACGCATGCATTGCCTTCCGTTTGTCGCCGCACAATGGCACGATTTCTTTATCTTTACTGTTTTCTTTCTTTATAATCTATAAATCACCAAAAGAATGCTTCTGTCTTTAAAATTTTTCAGACACAGCATCATAGATACTTTAAACTCTCCAGGTATCTTGCATTCCAAGTCATACCTCAGTATATATATGTATATATACATACAAGTACATATACTACATACATGAATGTATATAAATATATACATATATATATAATCGTATCTGTTGACTGCATTACATAAATTTTGTGCAATATTTATCGCAGTTCTCATTCTATAATTTTCATCTTCTTTTCATCTGTATCATATATATACATATACATATACATATACATACATGTATGTATACATATAATATGTATATATATCATATATATATATAAAGTATAACTAAAGTATATAAACTCTGATTTCATTTTATAATGATTCATTAATTCTAATACTCTCTAATTACGATTTTCTCTTCCTCTTTCTCTCAGTACATACTCATACACATCCTACACACACGCGCGCAAGTTCATTGTTTTATATCACACACACACTTTTTCTCTCTTTCTCTCTTCTTTGTCTACCTGGATTTCAATAACATTTTTAACAATGTTCAACAACGGCTTAGGCCTTCCATAATCCTGCCAAGGTGTTTCGATGTACAAATATCTGTCACGTATTCCTTTTTCCGAAATTGTACAAGTAAATATGAATTGTGACTTCATAATGTAGTAAAATAATTTCCACATTTCTATTAATTACCCTTTCATAAATCATCTTTGGATTTAGAATGCAGAACAGTATTGTCTTTTCTTCGAAGAGAAGAAAGCTCTTGTTTATCTCGAAACAGTTACATGATTATACTCATTCGTTTCGTTTTTCTTTTCACTCTGTTATCAAATAATATAATACGATTAAGCCTGCACATTTTAGTCTCTAATTCACTAATGAGTGCAATCGTTGCTAAAATACATTTAAATTCTTTACCACACAAACATTTCACAATTTATACATATCATTGACCCGATAGAACACAGATACCCACCGAACACACGACATAACATCAGCCGTGTTGAGATACACTCGATTATTTCTCTGACTCTTTTTCTTTTTCTATATACAATATGAAAATTCTACTGATATGTGTACATCAACTCACCTTGATATGCCTGTCTAAATTACCTGCACCAGGTTACATCAAAGTTCGAATTGCACTAAAGCCTTGCAGCACTTTACAACTCGCGAAAACTTTTACATCAACGATTTTTCCAATAAAAACTTCCCTTTTTAATGGATAATGATGTACTCGTGCTGTGGAGTAAGGGGATGTATAGTATCACAGTTGGCACGTGGGTGCTAGCTACCACTACTGCTTACAGGCAGTGAATGTGGAGCTCCCATCGATGTAGGAGGAGCAGTCAATGGTCCTAAAGAAATGTTCTTCCGTAAATACTTATATCAGTATTAAGTATTTGTAATCGCAAAATTATTCAATAATTACCAGTCACATTAGGTGAAGGCTCAGAAACAGGTAATGGACTAACCAAACTGTTAGCACTCATTGGTGTAGAGTTAGCTTTCAATTTCTGCCTTACTTCTCTGATCTTTAATTGCAAGCTTGTCTTATTAGGGAATATATCCGAATGTTTCGCTTGGAAAGCTGTAGTAGCTTGCGTTGAAGGGAAATAACCATTTTCTTGAAATAGTTGCATCACGAGAAGACGACGTTGCTCCAATACTTTTCTATGACCACGTTCGTTCTCGCTTCTACCCATTCCGACCGAATTGCCAGCACCTCCTCCAGGTGTCTTTGGTGTTCTAGGAGAATTGGTGTCAACATCTCCTACAAGATCGTTGTTAGCTCTGTACGCATCAACGTTGAAATCTGGACCAAAGAATGTGTTCCCTGTCAACTTAACACTGGAAGTTGATTTTGGAGTAGCGGAGATGGATGTGTCTGACTCGATATCGTCCTCATTCACTATTTAAGAAGACAATTATATTGTTAGGAAATATTTCTATATATTGTTAGAAATATTTATTTTAAAATCGATGAGATAATTACTTGTAGGCCTATGAGGTCCCTGTACAGATTTTTTCCGGTAACTTTGCATTTGCATGGACGATTGTAGATTTGACGAATGTAAGCCAGACGTTACCACTGAACCATGAACAGACGAACTTGCTGTGCTTATACTGATTGCACTTGGACTTTGTATATCTTCTGGTTTGAATTCCGGTAGAGACGAAAATTTTTCTTGGAAATTAACTTGTTCAAGTACTCTAGAATTATACGTTTAATATAGACATTTCTAAAATGCTAATTATTACACAAAATAATTATTTAAAATAATTTATCAATACCTGTCCATTCCATCTTCGACATTTTTCTTGAAAAAGGACCCTTTTTTGGTGGATGGAGACGGCGAAGCATGAGATTCTGAGAAATTTTGTTGTTGTTGCATCTGTTCTGTGGTCTGGGATGTGCTTATTTGTTGACGATTGTCACAATGCTGAGACGTCAGAGGCCCATGGTCTCCTGCATTTGATGTGGGAGGCATTGCTACACAAATGTAACAATCCTTTTAGTATATCTCGCATTATTTAACGACAGATATATTTCTCTAAACATTTTTTATTACTTATGGGAATTCTTTTCATGAAGAAAACTATTGCAAAATCATACCCATTGATTGTCTCCTTTGCAACGGTGCTCGACCAAGTTGTGCCGGAGTTGGAGCAAGCATGAAAGGCCCCTTACTTGGACCTATATCATTATTTTGAATTTCATCCATAGAATATGATTTATTGGTTGAGATTTCTGTACTACCATGATTGTTAAGCGGTGTATGAGGAGTATGCGGAGTAGATGGCTGTTTGTGTTTGTCATTTGTAGTCGGCAAAAGAATGTTCACCGTATCTTTCCTCTCTTGATCAGGTTTAATATTGGTTACTATAACAAAATAAACTGATTTTTAATTTCCGTTATCGTAATTGCATTACGAAAGAAAATTTAAATGTTAAGCTCGTAATTTACTAGTTATTGCGACTCACCATAAAACTGAGCGTGATTGCTTCCTACTTGGTTTTCATTTTTTTCAGGTTCTGCAAGGCGTGTTATTGGATGACCAATTCCTCGGTAAGACGACGTAGTGGAAGTTGTCGAAACCGAGTAAGGTTTACTCACAATAACACTTTGGGTCTCCATCTTATTACCAGAAACTAAACCTTGTGAAGATATGTTACGATTGCCGGCATCTGTAATTAGCAAATACGATCAAATGCAAGGTCGAATTTAAAATTTTTTATGACTTGAACTTACCAGAAATTGGAATTTGAAAGCCACAGAACATCCTGGGATGTTGCGGCGTTGGGCCAAGGTACTGCGATCCCTGCTGCGGTTTGGAAACAGCCACCATATCGTTATCGAGCAATGTTACAGTGAACGATTGTTGATAAGGGACAGCTGAAGTAAGGGGGCGAAGAATAGTGCCTAAGGATTGCAGCGGCTGCTGTTGTTTAAACAGAGCCATCATGGATTTTCAACCAAACTGTCACTTACGTTATATTTTTAACTTAATCGTCGAGTTTATTCGCATGTGTTTACATAAAACCCTTTAATAAAAATGCAATGCTCATTGCTCCCTCAATTCAGGTTTCAAAATGAAAAACAAAATTTGACCAATGCTGCAGCTAAATAAGTAGGCACGTGCGAATAGCACTCTTATTACACTAATCAATTATACAGTAACTACTCATACCTTATTCTTAGATAATTATTAATCTTTAAAATAAGTTTGCAAATTGCTTAACAACAAAGTTTAAGAAAAGTACGACAGCAGTACAATAAAACGTTATAATTATGTTTTCTATTAATCACATGAAGTATGCTAATCTAGTAATCATCACAAGATGAATGCAAAATTTTTCCATATATTCACACATGCCTGAAGAAAAAGGAGCTGTTAAAGAAGGATTTCAGGAAAACTAGACATTACTGTGCACACGACTCTGCCTCGTCTGGATCATTTAGGTATGTATGTTACTTTGAAACATCTCTCTCTCTCTCTCTTTGATTATTTATACTTATAATACTTACAGAATGTAATACCGGAGCAGCCGTAAATTTAGGCATATTCCTTCCGTTTTCATGAATGCTTGCCACCAGATTGCTCATACTGTATTGAGTACTGTATTGCTGTTCACTTTTTACCGGCTCCGGCTTAATAACTTTAGGAGATATTGGCATCGTTATGAATGCCCCACCAGTAGGTTGAAAACCGGATACCCCAGTTGGATTGACAGGACTGTGATAAGGATACGTGCTCGACAAAACAGATACTGTTCCTCCTTTATCCATAGAAGTGTGGTGATACTTCGTTGTAGTTTCTATACCTGTTGAAGGTATTCGTGCTAAACAAACGGAGACATTTACTTTACCATACACACCTATTAATAACATCTACTTTCTATCAAGTGATAAAACAAACCTTTTATTGGTTTAGGCCTGCATGTAATTTCTTGCTTCATCGTCATTGTCTCCCTCTTTTGACCACTCACAGGCGAAAATCGTGATTGTGTATAACATTTCTTTTCACCATCTTCGTCTTGTATATCATTGTCGCTGTCTGTTAATTTATCTTTGCATTTCAAATCTATTTCAGGTTGTGGATCCTCGCAGATTACCATTTGATCTTCATCTGATACATTTCCGTCTTCGTCCTGCTTTAAGTCTGGCTCAGTGTTTTCGATTTGCACAGGCATTTCCATTATCCGATGCGCGTGTGACTGATTAATAACCTGAATAAATAATGTTTGCAATGTAACCAATTGTATTGAAACTTTTATATGATTAGTAAAAGAAATTAATATAAAAAATGCATTGTACCTCAATCGGGGGAGCTTCATTATAGACTGTAGAAACAGGAACAGTAATTTCGTCATTGGCTCTTGGTGTTAATGGTACGTCGTCCGTTGGTGGTCCCATGTCTGTCTCTTCTCCAGTACTATTCAATTTTCCCCGAGAATCACTGCCTTTGTAACTCGTTGTAGAAGATTTTCGCCTATCTTTACTGCACCATTTCCAATCTGGATGTGCTTTAAAATGCGCTTCTTTCACTTCTGATGCCAAATCATGATACTTTTGCTTTTCCTCTGGGCCCAATGCGTACCACCACTCTCCTAATATTTTGGATACGGTACGATTATCCTGATTTGGATGTCTCTGGTGCACTAGTGCACGGTGACGCTTTGAGAAAATCATAAATGCGTTCATTGGTCGCCGTATTCGATCCTTAGTCTAAAAACAAGAATGCATTGTAAGTTTTGAACTGCTTGTTTCAATTAGTTTTGAACCATCATTTTTATCTTGTGTAATTTAGGCTTACTTTAAGTGGACTTTGAGGCTCCTTGGAATGCAATGCACTAAGGGACTGACTACGTCTCTTATTGGCATTAGCCTCCACTTCTGCAGGTGTTGTTGGTTCTGCTTCAAAAACGTCATCGTCTTCCTCTTCAGCAGGCGTAATAGGATCTGGTCCAGGACCAGCTCCATCTTCACCAGGCGTACTCATACTTATTGGAATTGGAGGTGCACTCAAAGGTGGACTTAGGGTGGATGGTGGAGGACTCACTTCTGATTGATCCAGTACTGTCGTCTGCCAGGAAAAAGCTGCAATGAAATTGGTGCGTGAGTTGCGATGATCGTAGTTAGTAATGATGTAGAGATATTAGCTAATAAAGTAATAATAATAATATATATATATATATATTAAAATACATTTATTTTACGAGTCAAATTAGAGAAGCATTTTAATATGGTTATAGAATATTTTTTCTTATGACAACTTTCAAATAATTAAGCACTATTTTTTAGATAACATAAAAAATAATACTCCAATATTCATAATACAAAGGAAAAATCAATCAACCACAACATTAGAGTAACATTAAATATGATTTTCGTATTAAAGTTAGAGTAGAAGACATGTAATATATATTTGAAATATGAGTAAAAAAAACTGCTTTTGTTGTAAAGTAGATAATGGTATATGATTATAATTCATAAAGACTTTATTTGAATTTTAGTAAAAAGAAATATCCTTATATTCTAATAATCATAAGAAAAGAAGATTTANTTATCACTTATTTTAGTAAAATTTTGTCACAATTACAGTATTTTATTAACTGCAGCATATTATTTGTGTACATATTTTTAAATGTAGCAAAACTAATTTCATAAAAAATATATGACAATGATAGTGAATGTATCAATAATGTTGTACTTAAAATATTATTTGCAAATTACTAATTAAATACTCTTTTTATCGTCTGACTAGTGTATATAGTTATATGTCTATATGTACCACTGTTAATGTATTTTACAACAATTATGAAAATAGTTATACATTTTGTTTGGCAGTGAGAACTCAAACCTTTTTTCCAGTTGCGCACTGCATTGTTCAGTAATGATGGGGGATGGGACTGGTATGCAGGAGGAACTTCGTGGCTGCCATCTGTGAAAGCCTTAGTGTTTAGTCAAATTTACTAAGAATACGATAACATTAATATGTAATAATAAAGATTTAATTAAATGATACATGTATTCGATCAAAATATACTGAACACACTATGAACGAAACAGGTATTAAAACTTAAAAAAAAAATTTAATTTCTTTTAATTTCGTTATATGTTTGAACAATCCCTCTGTGAAATCCAAAAAATCCAAAAAATATATCCAAAAATATATACTTATTACCAAAATTTTATTGTCAGTTTTGAAAATATTACATGTTTATTAAAAAGCGGATATTTTCAAAATTCACAAATCGCCCATTAGACGTGTGAGTAAAGCTCGATCTATGACGCGCACAAAATGTACTAAGTTAGGTAGTAAGGATTTCTTTACTAATATACCTGATATCAAACTGTGTGATAAGTACGTAAATTAACGTATTAAATAAAACATAAATATATATTTTTTGGACGCAAAAATTACGAATGTTCTAAACTTACATAGAACACCATTGTTTTTTGAGTTTTCTTCTCTAGATGGTTGACTTTTTGGGATCTGTATTATATTTCCTGGTTGAACTATTACATGCTGGAAGACGCTCGTAGGAGTAGGTGGATTCGAAGCTTCTGTGGTAGTCGTCATTACTACGCTTGTAGGTGGTGGTTGCGTTCTCTGCATATCCATATGTGTAGATGCGTGTGACGGTACTTTACTTGGCTAATAAAAGTAATATGTTATCATTATTTAATTCATTGTTTTATGTTGGCCAACCAAAGGACGTACCTCGTTATAGAATTACTTACTTGTAAAACCGACAATTTATCGATATGAACAGACGAGACAGCAGGTGATTGCGGAGGTTGAGACTGTGTTTGATGTAACGATGGTGGAAGCTGACTTAGCTGATTCATTAGCCCAGGTCTATACTTATCATCTTGATTAGTTATATGGCCTGCTGTAGATACATCCACACTATTTTTTATTACAAGATACTTTTTTTCATGTTGATGCTGCATCACATAAATTGGCTGGTTCTGCGGTTGCGGTTGTGCATAATCGACGGGTTGTTCCAAAGGTTTATGCAGAAGTGTTAGGTTTTGTGGTGTTGGCGCTGACAGTGGCATATGAGGCGAATGAGATGGTTTTAGTATCTGTGCATTTTGTTCTGGAACTTCCGAATGGTTGGGAAAGCCATTGTTCGTTGTGAGAGCATGTTGAAGAATTATGCCTTGTTGTTGTTGAGCTATAGTCGTCACAACCGAAGGATGTCGCGGTGGTGGGCTTTGTTCCGACCATGAGAAGGTTAAATTAGTAGGTCCAGGTATACCACGACTTACAGGAGAGATTCTTATCACGCTTGTCCCTATACTAGCTGGGACAGGTGCTGTTGGAGCTGGTCGATTCGACCTAACCACTCGATTGGGTTCAGGTTTTATCACCTGTTGTTGATACTGAGTAATGAACGTGGATTGGGTAGGTGAATGTTTCCACTTCGCACCAGGTGAAACTAATGGAGGCGCGTGATGAGCAGGACTCGAAATAGGCATAAACACATTGTTTTGATTGAGTCCCAACGGTGGTACTGGAGACTGATTGATACAAGGAGATATCGAGGACTGTCCGGTTGGCGATGAAAATGCCGGAGTTGCCGATCTAGAACTACCTAAGGACACTACAATAAAACCATACAACACAATTGTTACAGAATTATTGAAAAAGATATCGTGCAAAGAACTACAAATATAAAACCTACCAAGCATGTTAGCAGCTTCGGTTTCATCTTGATCGAATCGTCCAGCAATTCTTCGATCTCCATAATTCGGAGAAGTGTCGGAATCTCTTGATGTCTCCTCGCCATCCATCTTACCACTGTTATAAAATATTATATTAGTCAAGAATATGAAACTTTCATTTTGCTAACTGTGAAGGTGATTTGGAAATTTCATTACCCAGGAAATGTATTCGTTGGACCTCTAAGGCCAGATCCTTTCAAACTAAGATGACGAGAACAGTATCCTCTACGTTGGCTTTCTTTGGAACATCCTTCTTTGCTACAGAGTCGACGCCACTGTTTACCATTGAACTTTTTTCTAACTCCACTTGGCGTAGCCACTACATCACCTTTTTTATATCTATGTGGCGTTGCCGCCTGAGATCTATTTAATGTTCGATAAAAAAAAATCAATGAGATTTTTGTTTTTGAATTAGGTTTTTATGATATTTTATAAGTTTTCAACAATATTACCTGGGCGTGGCTGCTTGAGAACGAGGAGTTATACTGCGTTGTTCAACTAGACTACTGGTACTTCCCCGACTTTGCATGCTACTCCTCTTACTGCTTCCTGATAATTTTGCGTCTGTCAGTTGAATATACATTTCGATTATTACGGTAGGGTATTTATCGGTACATGTTCAACAAAATGTATACCAAATATATACTGTACAACAAGAACATATGCATCAATTTCTTATTAAATTATCAATCGATTAGATAACTAAAAACTATTATGTTCTTTTTACTACAGTATCGTTGGAAAGATTTATAAGCACAGTAGAACCTTGCTTATGCTAATAAACTCGGCGGTCGTAGATAAACAGTCTTTCTATGAGCAAGTGAATGTTTTGATTCAAAATTGTTTGATCAATTTCAGTTTTCCAAAAGTCAGCTTTTATTACGGGAACTAATAATGGTAGTTTGTAGGGATAGCTATTATCGGTTAGGCGAGGTTCTACCGTTTACGTTTTAACTGCGCATATTATTTTTATCTAACCTGCATCTGAAGGGAATGTAATATCTTCCCTATCTAAGTCATCTTCACTTTCTAAATCATCGTATGGTCGACTTCCGTTACTTAATGCTGTGCTAGCAGAATGCGCAGAAGTCATGAGAGGACTAGTACCAGTCGTTCTGTAATATGTGTCGCTATGGGCTGATATATGAGATGTATGGTGAGAAGAGTGATGAAGCATAATTGGCACTGCTGTTGGAGCTTCCGAAGAATTTCGATAGCCATGATCTGAAAGTATATGTAACGTATCCAGTGGAATTAGCAAGATTTGAATATAAAGGATAAATGTATATTATTATTATTATTATTATTATTATTATTATTATTATTAAACGTATATGCATAGTCAAGACATACCAATTCCTTCAACTCTTGAAGAATCACAGTCTTCCAATCCTTCCTCTAGTTCATCCCACCATGGAGGTTGCACTAATCGTAGATCCGCACGTTTCACAACATAACTGGCACTCTGATCATCTTCTCTTGGTATTCTAACAACAAAACGCTTAGGCTTCGTTAAAATCTTGCACACTGTTCCCTTTACAAACACTTTAGCGGCGTCAATATGATTGTTTGACGGTGGACATCTGATACAAACTTTTGCATCTAAAACCACTTGCCCTACGGACGGGCTTGCATCACCTATCACATCATACCTCCCCGCACCCAAAACGTCAGTATAACGCACTAGTTTCCTCTCTCCATCGAATTCTATGTAAATCTCTCCTTGAACAACGTTACGAATAACACCTGGATAATAATATGAATCCCTTAAAGCTAACACTCTGTGGTCGCGCCACTCACTGAGATCAATAGTAACAGTAGCAGGCCGAGGACGAGAACGTAAAGGTTCTTCTCGAAGAGAATAATCCACTGCAGTACTTTGAGGCGGTAGAATTACCACCGAATGTCCCGAGGATACCTAGAAAATATTTACCGTAATTAGTTAAATGAATACTTACTATAGCTAAAGTAGCTAGAGGATAGACCAAAGTCTAGAGTAAAATAGATCTTTTTCGCTTCTCTCATTCTAAACAATGACGAACACCTTTTTATTCTTTAAGAATTGATAAATGTGGCTCCAAAATCATGAGTTGATAAATTTCTTAGCTTTAGTTTTAAAAAAATCCCAAATAACACCTTATTTTTCGAAATTTAAATATGGAAACCCTTCAATAGTGAAAAACCATTTTCTTTAGTGGTACCTTTATTGGGATATTACTGAGTATTGTTTACTACCGATTTAAAACGAAGTAATGTAATAAAATCAATCATTATTAGCTTGGCTATGACAATTCTTGTTTGATTTATACTTTAAGGGGGCACATTTTTTATTGTTTAATTCACATCAAATTATTATTTTATTTCCATTTCCAGATATATGTAACAACTCTTTAGATGTAAAGTGTTCGGTAATCCATCATTTAAATAAATTACGTGACGTACTTGATAACAATCGGATTCTTGCTGTTGCGGAGATTGCCGGGCTAAAGTTGATTGTTGAACTAAACTTGGTTGGCCGAGTAGCATGTTCGGTGTCCGTATGTTCACCATGTTATTTATATTGCTTGTTACATTGCTGGTTTTGTCCATCTCCTCGAGCTCCGATGGATCGAACTTTCGTTTCTTTGGAAGTTTCTTAGCGCTGATTGTTGGATCGGATGGATCCCGCTGAGGAGGCGCCAGCGGCGGGGGTGGTTGTTCCAGAATAGATTTTTCTTCAATCGAATTGCCGCCACCACCCCCGCCCACTCCATACTGTCCGCCTCCGAGGGGATCCCCCCGTTTTTCGTGCATCTCAGAATGCGCAGTCAGCATTTTTGCCACCTCACGCTGCTCTGTAAATTAAAAAGCCAATATTAGAACTTCCCCTTTTTATTACTAACAAAATTCACCCTACTCATTAACTAATTGCGCTAGGACGTAGTTTATACACAGTTCTAAAAATTAAATTTCATTTTGAAACAATTTTAAATGAAATCGTATAGTCAGTTTAAAAGGTGTGCCTATGTAGAATGATTTGTAAATATTTTTTCAATTATGCCCTGCATGCACTGTTTTCTGAAATCTTTTTACGAATGCGCTTTATTTTTTACAACAATTTTGATTCAACCAGTAAATAATAATCACACTTTTCTTCTTTCTTACAAATTGTTTCGTAAATTGCTTGTAAGTTATTTTATGAAGTGACAATATTTTCTGTGTAAATTAACATTATTATACGTTAAAGTTTAAAAATACGTTAAAGTTTTAAGTTTGTCAAATGAACTCAAATCTTAAATTATTTAGTATAAAATTAATATCCTTATTTTAATGTCCTTTTTCAATAGTGTCTTCCGACTAATATTATGGTGTGTTTGAAATGGATACATCTTATGCATACTAATGAAAATAATAACACTATCAGCTACATTACTGGTTTTATACTTGAACACGATATCCGACGTATCAGCTCACTTATGCTACTATGTTATGAACGAACAATTCTGTTCCATCCCTAAAATTAAGTTCGTTATCCTGAATTACATGAAACATGAACCCCTAATTCTTTCAAGCAACATATCTCATGAAAATAATGATATTTAATTTTCTTTTTATAGGAGCATGTTATAGTCCAACCATTATTTCAATACTATATTATTTAGTAATTTATTGCTAATGTAATGTAAACGATTAAAATAATTTTCTAAATATAAGGCAGAGGCATGTTCTCAAGCTTTGCAGAATATTTTACTTTTCATTAAGTAACTCTGTAATATACATAATCTAGGCACATACATCTTATTGTATGGTATACAAGGTATTTAGTAATATAATTGTTAATAGATACCACGTGTATTAAATAAATCACATACGTTCATTCATTGATTACTGTCTGATGACGATTATAATAATTATAAACTAACGCGTTTTTGTCGTCAATAAAATGTAACATGCAATGTGAATGTAGCATTACAAAGTTGCAATAATTTATCTAATAAGACGTAAACATTTATCAGAATTCTCTAAGTAAGCTTTAAACAATTCCAAAAATAGAATTCTACTTTTCATCGATAAGACTACGTAACCTGAATGACTGAATACATTAAGGTTATTCAAACAATACAGTGAGTCACTGTTCACAAAACCAACAAACACAGGAGGGAGAGTAATCGTCAACTCTTTCTTACGAATGTTCGCTTTGAAGAGATAAATCAATTCACAGGAGTTACTTTTAATTAGTCTCTAGCTCCTATGTGCTAATTAAAATGACAAGGGATCGAATAAGAGAGTTATGCTGCTGGTACTCAATCCGTTTAAGCTGATTTAAAATAACGCTCTTTTTACTGAGTCAAAGAGAGCACTTGCATTTTTCAGACTACTAGACTACTAGAATTGTACATACATCAACCACATTAGGTAGTATTGCCATAGCCAACTCTACGCATCAATGTATACACTGCTAATATAATAAATAAATTAATTAATAAAATTAATTAATAAAATTAATTAAATACGTTGATTATCTTATGAACACTCGAATACTTGGACGTGACTTAAAAACCTTAATATCTCCGTGTAAACTTGGAATAACTTGGTAAATTGAGTACTCTCAAGTGCTTTAAACAATTACATGTATACCTTCCAATATAGTGAAAATTTAAATACTACTAAATGTTTTACAAACTTAGTATTTTAACACTATTTTTACCAAAGAAGTCGAAAATTTTAATTCAACACTGTTTTTATCAAAGCGATCAAACTCTATACCCTACGAAATTCTGATTTAACACTATTTTTACTAAACGGGTACAAAAGACACCTATCAAATTTTCAATTAAAAATTATTTCCCAGGTTCAATCATTTTTTCTCAATTGTCTTTTCAACTTTTCCTATAATATTTATAAAATTAATTTAGCAAAGACAGGTATATACGAAAGATCGGTCAGAATAATGTTCAGGTATTGTGAAATTTTATATATGTATATTGCTATAAACCACACAAATGATTTTTCAAGTATTGAAATCAAAGAATCGAATTCGAGTTAGTTTTATAAGGTTTCTTTTATCATGCTTCCGTGTATGCAATCACACAGCCTGTCACAAAATTACAACGTGACTAATTATTAATTAAACTAACTAAAGTTTCAACCTTTTTTGAAAATGTTACAAATATGTTCTTTTCTTCTTCAGAATTTACTTCTCACATATTGCTGATCAATAAGTTCCAATATAACATCCTATCATTTTCTTAAAAATTATATAATATGAAGTATATAATTACTTTCTTATACGTTTAAAGATCGAAAGGGACGTATCCTAATTGATGTGATTGATTAACAATTTGTCAAGGGATTCTTTCCATCTAAAATACATTTTGAGAGTGATCTTAAACGTTTCTTCTTTATTAATATGGGAACTAACGATTATAGGAAGACGACTTTGTTACGTCTAAACGAAAATACCCCTTTGAGATGCCTGTAGCCTATAGCTTGATTGCCTGCCGTACATCGATATATGCTGAGAGTGTATAAATAAACATATTAACATGTTCGCTACCAGCGTCACACAGATGTGTGACGCACACGATCTCGCATTTTCCGTAAAGGAGACAAATTAATTTTCCGTTTCTGACTACTGTAAAATATTTCAGTTTTCTTTAACTGTATAATATCTCGACATGTTCGTTTAAAATGTATAAAATTGAGCATATAGATAAACTGAAAATGTGTGAAATATCTCTGAATTACTTATTTGCGTAACTATCGTTGAGAAAGGTCAGAAGATCAATTACGAATCTGGGCATGTTATTTCTTAACAATTAACCTACTATGCCTAAAAACCGGTTTCACACTTTTTATTGATAAAATATTCACTTTTATCATTTTTATAAAGCACTACACACGTCGATCACTTTTAATCCTTTGCACGCTCGTTATGAATATTTCGAACATAATCAATTAAATATAGACGTTATTCGCTTGTTTTTAAGTCGAAATAAAATTCAATTTTTCTGTCGTCGATAGTTGGTAAGTGCAACGAATATACGCTTGTTAGGAAAATTCATTTCCTTTTTTTGTGTAGTAGTTTATTAATAACAAACAAGTACTAACCAGCATAGCAATAATTTACATAATGAAAGAAATGGTAGTGTCCTTAGGTATTTTTACCAGATTGAAGCATTTACTAGGACGATGGTCTACTATGGACTGGTTTTAGGAAGAAAATACCTGAAATACGCTGACAACGATAATAGCTGTCCACCCCATTCCTATTACTTCAGACTTGCAATACAGGGATGGACAGCTGTTATGACTCTAAGCAAATCTCGGATGACTCTTTTCGAGGAACAAGACATATTATTTGATCTTAAACCTTTTTTTTAAATAGTTTAATCACTTTCTTTTGCAACATGCTATGGTACTTGTAATTTCACCCAATATGATTTTACGTTCTTAGATCAATATCCAATAGAAAAAAATTAAAATAACCATTGATTCATCCACGGGGGGAATTCAACGTATTAATTCTTTGCCTTCTTCACAACTGACATTTTATATTTCTTTTAACATCTTATATATATACAAAAATATGGAATTTACGATCTTTTATTCATAAATAACAAAACGTTCTGAATTTAATCCCATAAATTCTGTGCATCTCTATCCTATAAATTCTAAGTACCTATGATGTCTACAACACCCCATGAAAGGTATAATTTAAAAAATGAAGATGACGATACCACAATGTAACCCATAGTAACTAACATCTATTAACATAACATGTCACTAAAGTCGATGCGAATTTAATTCTTTAAATAAAATAAAGTTTCTGTTCCCTGCCCCTATAAACTTCCTTTTCCTTCTAACAGATGATTGCAATCGAAACAATTTCAATTATTGTAACTGTAAAGATAATGGTTAAATAAGGAAAATACACCTACTAATATATAAATTTAGCGTTAATTTAAACTTGTCAGTTCATGTTCTATAATAAGTTCTCAGAATAATTGACTTTATTTTAAATTTCATTAACTAAATTTAATTATTAGATAATTACATTATCTAAAATGCATAATATTTTGAATTTTGTGGCATTCCGATTGATGTACATCAAAATTTCATCAATACATATTTATTTTGAGCTCGTTTGCATCTGTTTGCACTTGTTTGAATTTGTTTGGAGGAAATTTGAATGAATAGAAATGTAATTTTTGTAACGCCTGCATACTTAATGGTCCCTAACATTCTAAACATGTGTCAACGAATACGTCCCACTGAATATCTGCACAACTTCGAGTAGTCAGCCATCATCTGGGGTTTGTCCGTTGACGGAACTACGCCTTGAGAGGCTATTCTGAACCCCCGATCCTATTGTTAATGAACTGAAGTGGAGCAGCGTCGAACTGTCTTCGATTTCCCTTAAAAATAAGCTGTCACTAACATATTTGCATTTGTTTGTACTTGTTTCAAATTGTTTGTATTTATTTTAAATTGCCAGCAGTTCTTCCTCTTTCTTGTATTTGTTTTAAATTAGTTGTACTTGTTTTAAATTAGTTGTACTTGTTTTAAATTAGTTGTAGTTGTTTTAAATTAGTTGTACTTGTTTTAAATTAGTTGTACTTGTTTTAAATTAGTTGTACTTGTTTTAAATTAGTTGTACTTGTTTTAAATTAGTTGTACTTGTTTTAAATTAGTTGTACTTGTTTTAAATTAGTTGTACTTGTTTTAAATTAGTTGTACTTGTTTTAAATTAGTTGTACTTGTTTTAAATTAGTTGTACTTGTTTTAAATTAGTTGTACTTGTTTTAAATTAGTTGTACTTGTTTTAAATTAGTTGTACTTGTTTTAAATTAGTTGTACTTGTTTTAAATTAGTTGTACTTGTTTTAAATTAGTTGTACTTGTTTTAAATTAGTTGTACTTGTTTTAAATTAGTTGTACTTGTTTTAAATTAGTTGTACTTGTTTTAAATTAGTTGTACTTGTTTTAAATTAGTTGTACTTGTTTTAAATTAGTTGTACTTGTTTTAAATTAGTTGTACTTGTTTTAAATTAGTTGTACTTGTTTTAAATTAGTTGTACTTGTTTTAAATTAGTTGTACTTGTTTTAAATTAGTTGTACTTGTTTTAAATTAGTTGTACTTGTTTTAAATTAGTTGTACTTGTTTTAAATTAGTTGTACTTGTTTTAAATTAGTTGTACTTGTTTTAAATTAGTTGTACTTGTTTTAAATTAGTTGTACTTGTTTTAAATTAGTTGTACTTGTTTTAAATTAGTTGTACTTGTTTATATTTGTTTGTGGTTGCCTGTGTTTGTCTGCGTGGTAGCATAGAGGATCGGAGCGCGTTAACATATCAAGATATACAATGTATACTCACAGTCCGTACAGTCGAGAGGAGGCTGTGTGCTGAAATGTGGCGAGTTGAAGCTCGGAGGGTGGTGACACCGGCTGGGTGCATACCTCAGCACCCGGCTGTCGGGGACAGGATGCGTCGAGTCTGGGCTCTCTCGTCTTTGTCTATCTTGCGACGGGGTTGCTGTTCCCTCTCCCAACTCCAATTCTTCTTCCCAGCCCCAACTGCCGAGCATCCTCCTCCGAAAATTCTCCTCTTAGGCGGACACTTTTCTCTTCTTCTTTCTTAATTGCCTTGTACCTCTAGTCAATGTCCTGTAACAACAGAAACGTGTTTCGAAACGGTCGCCGGACTTCTGCGAATTCGATTCTCACGGGCAACTTGTCTCGTTTATTGCGCAGCGAGCTCTTAACGGGATTCCTCTGTCCCTTTGCATTCGGCAAGTTTACTTCTATGTACCGCCGATTAAGGGTATCGATGGCAGGTCTTTCATCAGCACAACCTTAATCCCTTCGATACGCCGGCGAAGTATACCTGCCCCGAGATGTTAACACGAAAGAAAAAGATCTCGGCGCAGGTCCTTTTTCGTCGGCTGCGCCCTATGCGAGACGGATGTATCTGATTCGTTTGGACCGAAAATTTTGCATTTGTATTATTGCTTCGAATTTTAATGTAAATGTAATGAGAATTGGTTGAAGCGACAGTAAGATTAAAAGAATTTTGAAATTATAATATTTATATTTTATTATAATATTTATAGATATACTATTTGCGATTTATCAAAATTGACAAAGAAACGGTAATTTTCCCATGATGATGCTGCCATCAATTACTATACTATGGAAATGTAATACAATAAAATCCTCACGAGTGAGAATATAAGAGAATTATATCAAATTATATATATTTAATTATCTGTTCCATTTTGGTTAGAGGAATATCCATTAAGAACTTACACTTATAAAGTAGATTGTGTGAGTCACAAAAGTCACATATGCTTGCTTTTCTAGAATGTGAAACATTTTGTGGGTATCAATTAATTAATTAAATTAAACAGATCCGTAAAATACGATATTGTTTTTGTCTCCTTTTGTTGGAAAATATAAATAAACTGAAAACATAAACATACAATTGTAGCTTCCTTCGGTATATTAAAATTAATAAAAATTCTTGTTTTAACAATAATCTGTAAGAAATTTTATAAACTTTAATATACTTCTGGCTGTGTGTTCAATAAATTTCGCATTTTTAAAATGTGTTTAATTGAAAATTCCAACAAGTTAATTACTATTCATAAAACATACAAATTATAGAGATAATAAGATTACTCCACTTTTATATGTACTAAATAATGGTATACATATAAAGAGAGCAACGTTGAAATGGTTTAAACGGATTAAAAATGTAGCGCCCCTCCCCCCAAAAACTGCATGCATCGATCATCGCGTATATCGTGGAGTTGTAACTCGTGTAACCTATCTACCGTATGATAAATTATGTACACGTATGTGTATACGTATGCGTCAAAAAGTAATGAATTATTTTGAATAGAACTGGTTCATTTTGGTCACATTGCACCGAACTTGTTCTGGTCAGAAAACCGAATAAATTTCGATATTCGAATTCTTGATCGCGCGCGCTCGACACTTCGATCAAGGACGCGTGTCGGAAAGCGTTCAATTTGTATAATCACATTTTACGCATTCTCTTACAAAACGGATGCGAAGTTTATGAAACAACGGTTGCAGTGCATTCTTCGGAAGTGGTTCTCGTTTACAACTTTTCCTGCACGCATAAATATTACGGTTGAAATTAAAAATCGCGTTCAGCAACTTCATTGTTGAGAAAAGAAAATCGAAATCTGGAATGCCCGTGTAATACGAACGAAGTGATTTTACATAAGTTTTATGCTTGCACGTTGTGGTTCCAATAAAAACTGTTGCTTAACACCGCAAAGGTGTAACAGGTTTAAAAGATTCAAACACCTTTTTATCGAAAGCATTTGTCATAGAATCACTTTCTTATCTGATGAAATTTGTCAATGAAAATCGATTATTGATACCGATGGAATTCAATGTGATTTTTCGAATGCGAATCGATCGATTTGAACTGTTCAGCGTATCGGTGTAGTTACACTCCGCGACAATGATACAATAAGATACTACACACATAGAACCAATATGTGTTATGTAACTTAAGTTGTGCTTTTTCTTTGTACACAGCGTTATTGTTTACACCATGAGTGGTTATTTATGTATAAAAGTTTTAATAATAAAACTAATAAAAAGAATCTATTTTAAGTTGTACACTGACGGGGTATATACAACCACTTTTATTCTTTATAACCTCTAATAAGTGTTTAATTCCCCGATTTTTAATTCCCCGACGTTAAGATTTCTTTTCTCTTTAGATTCCGAAGTCTAGAGTGAATATATTCATCGTGTATATTTCACTTTAACTCCATCATCTTCCTTGTAATAATATCTTGTAAAATAATTATTGTTAATATCGCACGTTCAATATTAATAACCATTTCAATCAAAATTCTCCTCCCTTAGTTTTGTTTTTTATTACTACCCATACAATAGTTTTGTCATGGTGAATAGAAACCGTTATCAGCTACTCCCATCTCCAGCTTCTTAATTCTAAAATATACTTATTAAACCACGATATCGAAAAAGTCTCCTCAAAGTAAATTATAACGAAGAACAAAAAATTCTCTCGCGAAATCTCGCATAGATTTACACGGTTTCATATAGTGTCTCGTAGTATCGTCGCGGAGCGTAAACCGTGAAGAACCTTTTCCGTAGACCAACTTCCTAGTGGATTCGATTAAAGACTCCATTAACGCACGGACACGCGGAAGAATATGTAGTGAGCTTGTGCATCCACAACGCGTAAGAGCAAAGAAGCCAACGAACCTCGTGCGTTAACGGTTTAGGAAACTGGCGGATAATTGTGCAAACACAATCGATATATGTAGAACCGATCAACAGCAAATAAGCACAGTACTCGGATTTTTTTTAAGTGCGTGTGCACGTACACGCACACACACAGAAACACGCACGCACGCACGCACACATTCGCGGCCGCGAGTAAGAGACAAAACTAAATCCGTTTACGGAGTGGAATCACAAAGAACCGCGGTGGCGAAAATCTCGCGTGTCGAATATCACCTCGACCTTCGCGCGGGCTGACAGGAGTCGTCTTTTAAAAAGAAAAAACCGAACGACACGGTGAGTGTACACACACTGTCCTTCTCTCTCTCTAGAGACTGTCCCGATTCACGTGTGTGCTACCGCGGTATAACGCGAGGCGGAGATCGGCACGCGCGACATAACCTATTCAAGAAATCGCTGCCGCATTTCTTTCTTTAAAGCGGAGGAGAGAAAAACGATTGCGCTCGGAGCCGGCTCTTACTTCCATGGCAGTACCGACGAAGATTCCAGGAGCGACTAACGAGTAGTCAACAGGCACTTAGTTCCCGCCGTTGCCGTTGCCGCCGCCGACTCCGCCGCCGCCACCGCCACCGACACCAACACCAACACCGAGACACCGGAGCACACAACGAGAATTACGGTACGGAGAAATACGGGCGCGCGCACTATCACACAGAGCCCAGCATAGGAAGTTCAGGCAGGCTGGAGACGCACTCACGAAAAGAAACAAACGGACGTGAGGCGAGAGCTCGATAGGAAAGTTTCGTGGTGAGGTGAGGCGAAGTGAGGCAAGGTCGATCCTCCTCAAGCATCGATTGGAAATCACGCACCGCAGCGGCCAAGCAACGGCAGACTACCGGCAGCAGCAGCAGCAGCAGCAGCAGCAGCACTACGAGCACCAGTTGTAGTAGAGTGTGTGCTCTCTTTCTCTCTATGCTACCCCGATCGCGTTTCGCAGGTCTGCATATTGAAAAACGACTAGAGAACGAAACTGAAGGAAAGATGAAGAGGGTGCTAGGCGTTAAATTCGAAGTGCGAGAAGGACGGGAATGCATGTGCATCACGTTCTTATCTGGCTTGTTCGAGTGAGCGAGACGGTAAACAAAGGGGAAGAACGGAGGGAAAAAGAGACAAGAGGAGCGGAGACGTGCAGAAGGAAGAGAAAGAACGAACGAGAGCGTGCGAGCGAGAACGAGAGAAAGACTTTACCACGCTTCTCCGGCGTCCTACCACCTTCAACGAGATCGCTGCACTGACACTGAGCCTCCTCGGAGAGTCCGAGTTCGCCCCGTGGCCCGGGTTTCTCGGAGGAAAACAACGCTCTCGTGATCGCCGTAGTGTGGGTAAAGGACTAAGGGGGAATGCACTAACCTCGCTACTCCCTACCACAAGGCTGACTCACGTTGCTTGGCCTGCCATTGTATCGTGTCGTGTTGGTCGGCTGGCTGGCTAGCTGGCCGGTCGGTTCGTTGGTTGGTTCGTCGGTCGGTCGGTCGACACTCTCTCGATACTCTTTCTCTGACTAATCCACTCTCTTTCTAGAGCACGCCGTGGACGCGCGTTTACAGGTACTCGAGGGTGGCCGAATGTCTACATGTGTACCGGGACGAAATTCAAAACCTGTTACGTGACGCCCGGAGAAGATAGTGGCCCGGTGTCTATATCGAACTTGTCCGTTTTTCCTCCGAAATTCTCATTTATCTCCGCACACATAGATTCATTTCAAGCAATATTATATTCATAGGACCATCTCGACGTTCTGCTCTACCACCATTTTTCGTTAGGATCAATTTTCGTCAGCGTGCATACTTAACACTAAAAAAAACTACCGTATTGTCGTTACTTTTCGAGATATTTTAAAATATTTGGAACATCACGTGCTTTTTACCTTACGAGCAAAGCTAGAATATTCTATGTACTTGATAGACTGCCAAATGTAGTTCCATTTATTTGTTTTCATTTATATAAAAATGATTTTATTAACTTAGAGTTTCAGTTTTTGGATAATTAGAATTAGTAGTTATGACTTATTTAACTAAGAGTTGTTATTTAACTAGAAGTTAACTCTCTAGTTATTTAACTAGAAATTGTTTCTGTAGGAAACAATTAAACGAATTTCTTAATTCAAGCATACGTTGTAATGAAAATAGCAGAAAGTTTATATAGATTCTGTATTGTCGTTCTTATGAAGCAATACATATATTAGTCTCTTTTGGTGCTCGCTAGGTTTACTGTTAAGCTCTTATAGTATCAATTAGTTTCGGTGAACTAAAGTAGTATAGAAGTCGACATAAAATATGGCTTTGTTTTATAGTAACTAAAAGTCAATATTGCAATCTTCGTACAAAGTTCCCGTTTCTTTCCTTATTCTTTTG